ACATGTTTTTGGTCTCCAGACCAATAAGACTGGTGGGGAATTTCAGTGGATGAGGGAGGATTTTCAGTGCTGCTGCTTGGGTGAGGTGGTCTGTGGCACAAGGCACCCCCTCAGACTAACAAATATGCTGGCATCTTCCAGGGTGTGTCTGTCTCAATGTTTTTCCTTTATAGCCATGGAGAAATAGAGCAAAGAGGGCTGTGAGAGGCTGTTTGTGGGATGTTATGGCAGAATTACCACATTAGCAAAGCTGTAAAGGTGTGGATTTGAACCTTGACTCCAGCGTAGAGGTAAATGGGTGCTGCTGATGTGTTTGATCCAGGGAAGGAATGATGCCAGTCAGGTTTCCTTCATACAGGCCTCGATCACACAAACAAGGCAGCTATATCAGCCAGGTATGGACAAATTGTTCACTTTTTCTTACTCTGACATACCAGAGAACTTGGTGAATCTGCCTTCTCCCTGTGCCATACTCCACCTGCTCATCAAAGAGTGATAAGAATTTTTGTGCAACTCAGCAAGTTAATATTAGAGAATTACAAATGTGAAATGCAGACGATGGTGGTGTAAAAATGCCGAAAAGCCCTGATTAGGAGCTGCCTCCCCCCAACAATGGGGACTTCACAGGGATCAGAGAGAAAATGACAGATTTCACACACCAGTTCTGATGAATTTTAGAGATCGCCCTGGGCTGCAGGGAAACCAATTCAAAGCGTAAAAGTCATTGAGAATTTTTCCTTTCTTGTTCAGCGATGAGAACAATTTCTGAAACATTGTGCTTTGCTGTCACCGGGCTGTTTTCCTCAGCAATTAATTCACCAGGCTGCAAAAGGAGGGGAAGATCAGTGTGTGGTTCCTCTGACCATGGCCTGCTGAGGATGTGCCACTGTGGTGCTGCTCAGTTTGGGCTTCTCTGCTTCTCTAGTTCCTCTGGAGAGAAGAAGGACATGTCTGGGCCATTGCCACCTCTTGGGTCTTCTAACATGATAGCCTTGGCTTCAGCTGGCTTCAGTCCCAGAGCAGCAGTTATTAGCCCAGGGTAATGGCAGGTTTGAAAAATTACAAGTTTAAAATTAGAAGGTCAAAAGTTCTTGTCCTTTTTTTCATACTATCTAGTTGGTTCAGTAATCTTTCTCTATGCTGAAAGTCTTCAATAAGACGTGTGGGACACATCACAAAGTCCAGTTTTTACAGCTAGAGCTGCTGCCCAAGGTGACTGGAGGCAACCTCGAGTCACCAGCAGATAGATCCTCCCCCTGCATCCAACGTTAATCTTGGAGACAGGAGAGAGCTCTTTCCTTCTCCCATGCAGGAAGATGATTTATCCTAATTCAGTTGTATATTTTAAACTTCCACAGTGTCCTGTGGCAGGAAGCTTCACAGCTCACCCACCTTGCATGTGCAGACTTGTCAGTGATCATTTTGGATGTGTCTGCAGGAAATCCTGCTGTGTGCAGTGCTGAGCTGCCATCACTCAGGCACTGGCAGTAAGGCTTACTTCTACTTGTGACACAGAAATAGGATGTGACGTGCCACCTAGGGAAGGCTGCTGTGTGCCCCGGAGCAGGGGAGCAGGCTGGCTGATTAGCTCTGGGACAGGCAGGCTTTGCCTTTGGGGTGTGGATGGAAAGGTTGGAACACTCTGACACTGCTGTGTTTGATCAGACATCTGCAAAGGCACCGTGACCCAGCTGATGTTATTAAAATGGAGAGGAGGTGGATGTAAATGAACCGAGTGGAATAATGCACCCCATGGTACCACGGGATGTAAGAGCATCTCCTGCCTTCAGCAGCTGTGACAATTAAAGGGTTTAGCTGTGAAGAGACATGTCCCCAGCTAATACTTTTAGCCTCCACTGCTCCTCTTGATCTGTCAGAGCAAGGAAGCTGCAGGTATTAGAGAGAACAAGCTGTGCTAAGGTGCTCCTGCTTTGTTTCAAGTGTGCTAACTTTGTTTCTTCATCTATTCTAAAGTAAACCTGTGACTTCTCCCAGAAATCTGGATGTAATCGGACAGGTGATAACAAGGTCCCATTAGCTAAGGTTAATCACCCCTGGCAATGCAGCTGGATCCATGCAACAATACATTTGGATGGGAAGAGGTTCCTGATTCAAACACTGTCTAGAACAGGGACATTCAACCTTTGGAGTATCATTTGATCCTGAGGAAGTTTCCCACTCCATGGAGGGATTCCATTCCCTCCATGAAGTCGGGATGTGCATCAGAATCTTAAAATACAGGCACATCCTCAGGAATTAAAGAAGGGTAAAAGAAACAACCAGGATCTCTTAAACATCCCTGTGGCCTGGCATTTGGAGAGAGCTGCAGCAATGACTGCTTGACCAATTCTTTGTCCTTGGTCCTCTCCTCATGGTGAGGGATGCAGGTGCCTGTGATTGCCTTGCTCTGTGTACACAAATCCCTGTACACCAAAATCCCTGCTAAGAATCCCTCACGCCCCATCCAGAACCTCTTAATCAGGAGAAATCCTTCTTAATATTCAGACTGGACTCTTGAAGCAACATTTCATCCATCAAAAGCTGAGGGTGAGTTTATACTTCA